GCAGCCCACAAATGCTAGCAAGCCATTCTCCCTAGGAGTGGGCCATACTCAGCTGTGGCCCACTTGCAGCATTTTCTCACTTTCTTTGCTCTACAATCAGGGGCTATATGTACTACAATGGTTTCTCCTTTGTTTGCTTTATGTGTTCAAAATCACCTCCAAAAAAACTGAACCTACAATTAATATTTGCTACCAAGAGGGGGCAGTGGTACCTAATCACATAGGTATCATCGGTTGCCTGTGTAGTAGAGGGCAACCTCCCGTGTGTCAGATTAGAACCACAGGGTTTTCAATGGCTGATTTTTTGGAAGTAGATTGTCAAGTCTTTCTTCTGAAGCACTTCTGAGTGGACTTAAACTTCCAATCTTTCATTTACCAACCAAATGTATTAACTGTTTGTACCAGAGACTCCAATGCAGAATATGCCCCAGTTTGTGCGTGCTAAAGATAAATCTTCTTTTTTCAAACTATTTACCAAAAAAATGGAGCTTAAAGGGTAGTTTAATTTAAACACTCAACACAAAGGTTGCCAGGCTCACAGAACCAATTTTTATGTACAATTTAGTGCTATTTTATTAATCTATAACCAAAACTCATTGCTGTCAAGTTGAATTCTGACTCATAATGACCCTACAGAACAGAGAAGAATTGCCCATAGGCTTTCCAAGGCTATAAATCTTTATGGAAGTTCCTGGTGGGTTCAAACTTCTGACTTTTTTGTTAGCTCTCTAGTGCTTAACCTCTGCACCACCGAGGTGCTTTTATTAATCTATAGCTAGTATATAATTCTTAAGTTTATTTCTGTATTCTCTGAACAGCTTCAAAGAGAAAAAGTAAATTAACTCTTTTGTACTTACCTACTTTGAAGTTGATACTCGTAGGTTTTATATAACTCTCTAGCTCTTACAACTTGTCTTAAAATAAAAATCATTATAGCTTCCTTTATGGTTAAGGATTATATCTACTATTTCTGTCTAACGCTCCATAAACTACCTCAAGGAGGTAGTTGCCACTTGCAAAGAAAAAGATAATACTCTTTCTGCTGTTCTCTCCTCCTAAAACCAAAACCAAACCAAACCCACTGCTTCAAATCTATATCAACTCATAGCGAGGACTGCCCCATTCTTTATGAAAGCAAACTGCCTCACTTTTCCCCCGTGGAGTGGCTAGTGAGTTCAAACTGCCGACCTTTTGGTTAGCAGCCAAATGCCTTAGCCACACTGCACCACCAGAGCATCTTTACTCTCCTAAAGTTTCCCATATTACTCTTCCCTGAAGTCTTCATGGTGACATACTTGACGATATCTCACTAATTCTTTCACTCTGAAGTACAAATACTGCTATAAAATTCTTAAGGGGCAAAATGTGTAAAACGATTAAATAATTACTATGCATTATATATTCCATAAATACTTGTTTTCTTGAAAAGTGTTACATAATATATACAGCACCCAAATTATTGCACATTTTAACCCAGTTGGGTATGATTTAATGCTTTTACTATATTTAAGAAAGTGTCCTTTCAACATTTAAAAAAAAAATCAAGTTAAGAATGGTAACAAAACAGGGCTCTAAATTCTTATTTGAACCACTTGAATTACCATGTGATGCTTTTCATGTTACCCTAAATGTCTCATCAACATTGCTGTTAATAAGCTTCCCCCCACCTCTTGAGAATAACAAGGATGTGAATAACAAGGATGAAAGTAAGACACATGGAAATATGTAAAGGTGACATTTTAAAGAGCCAAACCTCTTCCTCATTTTTAAATGTAATAATAACGAGCATGAGTAAGGAGCCCTAGTGTCACAGTGGTAAAAGCACTCAACTGCTAACCAAAAGGTCATGGTTTGAACCCACCAGCTGCCCCACAGAAGAAAGATGTGGCAGTCTGCTTTCATGAAATTTACAGCCTTGTAAGCCCTATGGGGGAAGTTCTACTCTACCCTATAGGGTCACTATGAGTCAGAAAAGACACAAAGGCAGTGGGGTTTTGAGCACAACTTATAGTAATAAAACTACTATTCTCCTCATGCATGTATGATGCTATTAAATTTACAAAGTGCTTTGATATTAAGTCTTCTTATTAAATCTTCATATATATGAAAAAGATTAAAAACACTGCCATTTAGTCAATTCTGACTCATAGCAACCCTATTAGACAGAGTAGAACTGCCCCATAGGATGTACAAGGCTATAAATCTTTCCAGAAGTAGACTGCTTCATTGTTCTCCCTCTGAGTGGCTGGTGGGTCTGAACTACAAGCCTTTTGGTTAGCAGCCAAATGCTTTAACCACCACACCACCTATTTATTCATATTCTCAATAATTAACTTTCAGTGCCTCCAGTGCTGTGCATTATTCTTAAAGCTAGTTGTAAAGAGGCTGGAACAGGCTAGGAGAAGTTAAATAATCTTCAACCACCCTGCTTTCTTTTCCTCTATCACTATATAGTGTGATAGACTACTGTAAGCTAGAATGTCAATGATTAATAATGGCTTTATGTTTTCTGCTTCCCAAATAATGAAAGCATTTTAACCTAAACCTTTAAAACCCTAGTTGTTGTTGAGTTGCTTCTGACTCGTGGGGATTTCAAGTACTTAAGAGTAGAACTGTGTCTGTAGGGTTTGCAATGGCCAGTATTTCAGAAATAGATCACCAGACCTTTCCTTCAGGGCACCTCTGGGTGGACTCAAACATCCAACCTTTCGGTTAGCAACTGAGTGCAGAATGCTTACCACCACCAAGGGATGCCTAAGCCTTTAGTGCTTCCCAAATAATCATAGCCCAACTGAATGAGTAATGTAACAGACAGATTGAACAGAAATTTGGTGAAAAGGGAAAGGAGGAGATGCACAGTAGTATGAGATGCCTTGAATCATGTGAGGCCAGTCATTGCCTAACTACTCTGCTCACAGTTAGAACTGATCCTAGATAGAGACAGGGGCATATCTATTTCCTATATGAGACAAGTCGCCATAGTGGAATCTAACAAAAGATTGTCCCTTCTGCAAGTGACAACGTGCTGCGATTCCCTCCTCCCCCAGACCCTGTGCAGTTCCTATAATTTCATTAATTACACTTCTCTGGGAGAAGCATGGTGCTCTTTCACACCCACCCAAAGTGATCCCTGAAAACTGTCTCCTGAGCCCGTGCAAGCAGTGAGACCAAGTGATTTAAGCAGCCGTCTGATTTTAGCTAATAATAATAATAATAAATCCTCTCCTTCAAATTATAGATAGATCATTTTCCTGCCTTCTACCTTGCTTTGGAGATAGTTAAGGGTAAGACCTTCCTTTCTCTGCTAAATGAACAAACTTATTCACTGTTTCTAACTTGAGACAAAACTGTCACTCATGCTCCCCCGCTCTCCATCTCTCTGAGTTACCAACCCTCACTTGGCAGAATCCTCCTTAACTCCTGGCAGCTGCAATGAGGCTCACTCACTCTTTAGCCACCCAGATGATGAAAAATGAATTGGGACCAATTTCAGGATAATTCAGGTAAAACATGGAAATTCAGGCAAGACAGGAATAGAGTGAAATTCTCCAGAATTAGCTGTGCACATGAACTGAATTTTGAAATAACTGTTTGAGTCTCATAGATCCCAGCTATTACTCTGATCCAAGATGTTGTCTGTTGTTGTTGTTATGTGCCATCAGTCGACCTGACTCATAGCGACCCCTCTTAGGTTTCCGAGGTGGTATCACTATGAAAGTAGATTGCCAAACCTTCCTTCCGAGGAGTGGCTGGTGGGTTTGAACCACCAGCCTTCTTGTTAGCAGTCAAGTGCCTTAGGCACTACGCTACCAGAACTCATCTAGAGGCCACCAATGCTTCACAGTCTTCTTTTCAACTGCACAGAAAATGAAAATGTTTGTATAATTCTCTGGTGTAGACTGCTGGGACCAGACCCAGGTACTCAGGCCACTTCAGGTCCTGCTTGCTCAGACACTAAGAAAGCTGAGGAAATCATTTTTGCAGTAACCAGTTAGGAAGGTTAGTCCTTGTAACTCACAGTTTAATGTCCACTTACCAAGGTGCTATCTCATCTTACCCTCTGCTCAGTCAATCCACTGGGTCTTCCTTCCCCACTCAACTCACTGGCCCATCAATCAAGACCACATTTCCTTCCAAGGAAGCCAGCATTCCCTTCCCACCCACCTTGCACCACGGCCTTGTCCATTTATACACTCTTCTTCATTCTAAGGGAGCTCTGGTGGTATAGTACCTAAAGCATTTGACTGTTAATCAGAAGGCTGGCGGTTCAAACCCACCAGCCACTCCTCAGAAGGAAGATTGGACAATCTACTTCCATAGAGATACCTCCTCAGAACCCCAAGGAGGGGTTGCTATGAGTCAGCTCCAACTCCACAGTGGCAGTGAGTTTGGATTCTTCATTCTAAGGAATACAATTCTTATGACTTAAAATGCCCAAGATTTTGTCTTAAAAGCCTATCTGCGAAATCATTTTCAAAAACATGATTTTCACAAGAAAAACATTCTCAGCCCCTGCCCTCTTCCCCTTAGCATTCTCATCATCCTCTTCACCACAGAGCTAGAGTTAGAAGGGCTCTTTCTCTGGTGGAGTGTTTCTCTATGTGTGGCCTAGAAACTACCTGCCTCAGAGAAGGGTGGGGTGGGGTAGGGGTACTTGCTTTAAAACACGAATTTCCAAGCTCCTCCCTCCCTTTATTAAATTAGAATTCCTGGGAGGTGAGGCAGGGAATAGACATTTTAAACCAGCTCCCACACACTTTTACACTAGTGTTTGAAAGGTTCTGATTTAAACCAGATCCCTCCTTCTACAGAGAAGGAAAGTAGAAAACAGGCACCTGAGAGGTGAAACAGGTTTGTTCAAAGTCAAGGACTGTTAGAGTGACCAGGCCTGGACTGGAACCACCTCTCTCCCTGATAAGCACAGCACGAGCCAGGAAGAGCCTGGAATAAGGAATAAGGTCAAGCAACTCCTGCCCGGAGTTGCCGACCCCTGAACTCACCCGCTTGTAGACGTCCTCCCGGCTGGCCTCATACTTCTGTTGCATGCGCTCCTCCAGGAAGTAGATGCGCAGCTTGAGGCTGAAGTTCTCCTTCTTCAAGTCATTGAGGTGCTGGGACAGAGTGCGATATCCATTAGACATGGTGGGCAACCCATGGGGAGGAGCATGCCCAGTTGCCCCTTCACCCCAGGAACATAGTGCAGCTGCACCGCCGCATGAAGCGAGCCGGCTGGGACTGGGACGCTGCTGAGGCTACGGCGACGACATGGCCCTGGTCTCTGGCGGTCTCTCAGGGACTCTCGGGCCTGGGCTCACTTGATCTGGGTACTGGAGCACAACACACTTTCCTTTTTTACCTCAGGGAGATATTTGAGGAATCCCTGACAGAGGAACATGCTTCGTGAACTCAGACACAAGTGGTGTAACCTGACTCCAACCCAGGACTTGGCTGTCACCCTCCTGGAGCCTCTGTAGCCCAACTGCAGGCAGTTAACAGTTTCTCGGAAGAGAGAGGGAACTGACCCCTAGAAGCTTCCAGGAAATGGGAAGGGGAGTAATTCAAGGTGATGAGGGGGGTTGCAAAAAAGAGAAGGAAGAAAAAGGGCAATGTGTGTGGTGTTACTTAAGCTCCTGATGACTACTTTGACAATAAAGGCCATAAAGAAATAAGGTTGTTATAGAGAAGAACACATATACACAAAATGGCCCACAAAATGGTGGTTTGCATGTCAAATATCCCATTGCTGTCAACTGCAAATCTCAAAGGGCTACTAATTTTGTTGTTGTTGTTGTTGTTATGTGCCGTCGAGTTGGCCCCGACTCATAGCGACCCCTCCTTGGGTTTCTGAGGCAGTATCACTACAGAAGTAGGATTGCCCAACCTTCCTTCCGAGGAGTGGCTGGTGGGTTTGAACCGCCAGCCGTCTGGTTAGCAGGCAAATGTCTTAGCCACTATGCTACAAGAGCTCCCCTACTAATTTTAAGGGTCTCTAATTTTCTGTCAATCCAAATGCTCTCCTCTAATCAATTCCTACCCATTTCCCTCCCCATATTTTTCCATTCTTGAAACAGTTAAATTACTAGCATTTATTATCATGCATAGGGAGCTCTGGTAGCATAGTGGCTAAGACACTTGCCTGCTAACCAGACGGCTGGCGGTTCAAACCCACCAGCCACTCCTCGGAAGAAAGGTTGGGCAATCCTACTTCCGTAGTGATACTGCCCCGGAAACCCAAGGAGGGGTCGCTATGAGTCGGGGCCGACTCGACGGCACATAACAACAACAACAATTATCATGCATCTTCCCCGCCCCCAGAAATACACCACAGCCACTCCCAAAGAAAGGACAAATCTTTTAGTACAGTGTAATCTTTGCAAATTCTATGAACTGGTTATACTAGCTTACAAATAGGCCTGGTGAAGGATTCTTCTCTCCCTTCCATGGAAGGGGTGGGAGCCATCAGCCAGGAGCCCAGAACTTTCAGCCAGTTACTGGCTTTTAACTCAGGCACCTGCCAAGTGGAGCCAAGCACTCATCACCAGATCCTGCTCATAAAGCAATTTAAGATCCTTGAATGACAGCTGCAACTTAAGCAGGAAGTATTATTTATACCACATCACATGGGACACTGAAGGTGACTGGGAGACAACACCACAGCACAGATATCAAACACAGGCTCTTGTTTGCAAATAATATTAGGTTGGAAATCATTTATATTAACATTTAAGATTAAGAAAATTAAGAAGTTTACACTTAATTCAAGCACTTACTTCCTCCCCAGTCTACTTGCTTTTCATTCTCCAAATTTCTTCTCAAAGCTTCATAATAATTCTGGTCAACACATCCTGAGTATTGGCCAGGTAGTGTGTTGGGCAATACAAAGATGAAGAAGTCCCAGTACTCAAACAGCTTGGTGGTCATATCATTACACATGAAGATATGTGTTTTATACTATATTCTTCCAAACCTATGTTTTTCAAACATTTTACAATGCAACCAGTACCCACACACAAATACACACAACTGACATAAAAGTATCAAAAAGTAATTGTTACCATCACTATGTGTGATCCACTGATTTCCTGTTTTATTTCTCTTTCTAGGAGTGATCCACTAAACTGATTGCATGATCCATTAATGGGCTCTAGCCTACAGTTTAAAAACCACTGACACTGAATCTATGGAAACCCAGGAGAAAGAATGGTCAGTTCTTACTGGGATAATCAGAAGAAGTTTTAGTAGGAACTGAACTTGTACTTTGCCTTCAAAGATAGGAAAAGTCTGAAGAATAAAATGACCTCAAGGCAAAACAAAATAAAACCAAAAACCAGATGCTGCTGAGTCTGTCAAGTTGATTTTGACTCATAGTGACCCCACGTATCTCAGAATAGAGCTATGCTCCATGGATTTGCGAGAGCTCTGGTAGCGTAGTGCCTAAGGCACTTGACTGCTAACCAGAAGGCTGGCAGTTCAAACCCACCAGCCACTCCTTAGAAGGAAGATGGGACAATCTACTTCTGTAGTGATACTGCCTTGGAAACCCAAGGAGGGGTCACTATGAGTCAGGTCCGACTTGATGGCACATAAAAACAACAACAACAACCATGGATTTGCAATGTGTGATCTTTCAGCAGTAGATCACCATGCCTTTCTTCCTGGGTGCCTCTGGATGGATTCCACCCACCAACCTTTTGGTTAGAAGCCAAGTGTTTAACTGCTCAGAAGGGCATAATTGAGTATTCTAATAGATTAGGATTATAAGTAAGCAACACGTTTTGTTTTTGTTTTTTTTTTTACTGCAGACCGTTGTTAACAAGCCAAAATATTCTCCATTTTTTAAAAATCTATACATTAAAACTTAAACATTTTCATTAAATCTGTGTTCTCAGAATAAATAAATGGCATTTAGGTTTATTTGATTAAATAGAGGCAATGAAGAAAAAAGTCTATATTAAAACTCAGAAGACTCTTTTCTAATCCAGTTTTGTTACTAAATAGTTCTGGGATGTAGAAGTATAAGTACTTTTCCTAAAGCCTAACTGCCCTCATTTATTAAGTAAAGTGACTGTGAACTGTATGACTTTAAGGCTCCTTCCTGGTCTAAGCTTCTAGAGGGATTAACCTAGGTATTATCACCTCCATTTTGCACAGGGTGCCAGATGGTCGATTAGTATTTAACCATGCTTTTCATATCTTCTTGGACTCCTTTATGATGTAAAATAATCTAATGAAAGTTTTATAGAAACCACAAACTGTCCATGAATGCAGAGTACTGTATTCTTATCCAAGCTGTATCTTTTTTTCAGTGGTTTTATGCCTATTGTCTCTTATGTCCTATAATACTCTGTTCTTCTGTTTCCCTGACTCCTCTGTGCTTTAGAGATTTTATCCACTTCTTTGGCTGTAACTTCTGCCTGCCAGTTAACCCACAAATCTCCAGCCAAATCCTCTCCCCCAAGTTCTAGCTTCATATACCCAACTCTTCGCTAGATAGTTCAACTTGCATGTTCCATTCTCACCACAAACCTTAAAACCCCAAAACTTTTTTTTAAAAAAACTTTTTATTGTGATCTGAGTGAAATTTTACAAAGCAGATTCATTTTCCATTCAATGGTTCACATACATTTTGTTTTGTAACACTGATTACAATCCCCACAATGTAACATCTCTCTTACCACTTCTCCCGGTGGTCACCCTGTCCCTATGTTCTTGCCTATGCATTCTTGCCTCCCTACCTTTCTCCCAAGGCAAATGCTGCCCTTCTGATCTCCCATGGATGACTGCCTAAGGAGTGCATCTCCCTGGTGTAGCTGTTCAGCTCATAGGCCTATCTATCGTCTGGCTGAGAGTTAAGCCACAAGAGTGAGTCCAAACCCAAAAACTTCTGCAACAGTCTCTATCATGTTTGCCAGAATCAACTCCAGCCATCTGTTCTCCATATTATAGCCAAAGTAATATTTCCAAACTTAAATCTTATCCTGTCATCTCCCTTAAAGCCCTTCAGAGGTACCTCATCACTCGTCAAATAAAGGGGAAATCCCCATTGCATACCCTCAAAACACTTGGCCTCTTCTTTCAAGTCCTAGTTCAAATCCCATCTAAACAAAGACTTTCCTACTATCCCAGCCTGAAAAATCTTCTTCCTTTTCTGAACTCCTAAGCATAGCAGTTCTATCTATGCTGCATGCTTGGAATCGCCATGAGCCAGAATCAACTTGACAGCACCTGGTTAAGGTTTGGGTTTGTTTAAGGCAAATATTGACATTTGGTAAGTGTTCATATGCTGCCTCATGATACTGCTTTTATTATCTTGAAGGGTTATTTAAACCATTTAGAACTATTTAACTTTTCATGTATTTATGTCTCTCCAACTAATCAGTAAGGAGCTCTGGTGGCACAGTGTCTATGGCATCAGACTGCTAACCAGAGGTTGGTAGTTCAAACCCACCAGCTGCTCCGTGTAAGGAAGATGGCGCAATCTACTTCAGTAAAGATTTCCCACCTCGGAAACTCAGTGGGGCTCACAGTGAGTTAGAATTAGTAAGTTATCTAAGACAAGGACCAACAACTTACATGTCTGCATCCTCCTACAGCTCTTATGACAGCCTCTCAAAAAACAGTCATCCTGCTGTGCTATCCTGGCCTGTTTCCAGTCACCTTAAGCAGGTCAGAGTGTTCTGAAGGCTGGCAAGGCATATTTTGTCTGTTTTCTCATTGCACAGTATTTAGGAAGTGCTCCCTAAATATTTGCTGAATTAATGAATAGATAAGTATTCCATAATATTTTATCCTTAACTGATTTGATTCACTACATATAGGCCAGCTTGCCTGTATTATTCTTATAACTTTCTAAAAATATTAAAAGGTTTGTTTTTAATAGCTCCAAAGAAACTAAAATTACTAAAATGTTTATTGTAGAAAACTGATGACTTGATCACTAAAATTACTAAGTGTATTTACCCTCCCTGCCTTCTAGATTTATATCTAACTTCCTAGTAGAATTCTGCACATGGATGTCTAACACAAGCATCTTATACTTGTGATATCTGAAACTGAACTCCTGATCTTTCCCAGCAAACATGCTCCTCGCTTATGGGACCCCATTTCAATTTGTACCCACTCGATATTTGCAGTTGTTCAA